TGCCCGCTGTTTCCAGAATTCTTGGTAAAGTTAAGGAAAATGATGCTCAAATCATGGTCAGAGCCATCTGGTGGCAGATGACATATCTAACAGATGACTTCAAATTGCAGCATTTGAGAGCTGCACCAACATTTTCCCACCTGAGGATGGCTCTGGGCAGTTCTGAGGGACAAAGATTGTTAATATCCCTTCCTCCCCCTACCTCCTGGAGTCTAAGATGTTCTCTCTCCAGGCGCCAGGGTCATTGCTTTCCTAACACCTCCATAACATCAGTGTATTCCGTTCTAGTAGCTGTAATTTCATTTCTTTTCCAGTCACCCCCTCCTTTCATTCTGAATGGCCAGGGACAAAGGTATTTTTATAAAAACTAGAGACCCATGTGTCTTCCGCTTTGGATTACAAGGACCAGTGTAAGTGTACTTGGCAAGCAGTATATTCAATCAAATGGTCATTATCCTTAGGATCTGGGATAATGTCAGTTCAGTAAGAGAATCCAGATGGCTGACCTGAAATTGAGTTTAAACTGCTAGGCCTACCTTTGACCCTTCTATCACCTGGAAGAGGTGCCATCTCAGGCTGTGCCAGAGTTGCCATTAGGGGAAAAGAAAAAGATTGTGTTTAAGAATGGTTAGGGCAGAATCCTAAATTTCCAAGTAGGTTTACACAACTTCCCATCTTTTTTGTCTCAATCGTTACCCAGGAAGCAGCTGAAAAGAGATGATTGCTTTCTGGGGACAGCTGAGTTTAGTGACCAAACTGTTTACTTGGCTATTTGGACAAGGAGGAGGTGAGGGAAATAGAGTCAGAAATCTTTCTGAGTCAATATTTGAGGCCATTACAGTGCTCTCAACATCAGCATTTGTGGATGGTGGGGAGTTTGAAAGGTCCAACAATACCTTGACCATCAGCCAATTACTAAGTAGCTTCTGGCGCATCATTATCAGACCGCAGATGGTCCAGAAAGCTAAACATAGGACTCAGATTAGTCTCAAAGGCCACAGTGGTGGTGTGGCCAGAACCAGCTAATCAGACTGGAGCAGCAACAGTATAACCAGACAGGAGTGGCAGCAGTGCTGAGTTGCTACTCATAGCCCCAAGACGGGGTCAGAGGCTGAGTGTAGGCAGTCCACCAGGAACGTTGGGAGACGGCGCCCTGTGCAGTGTGGCCTCTGTCACCATGAGACAGGCGGGTGTCACAAGTCTGGCATGCAGTGGCAACATAAGGTCCTTGACTAGAAGCTCTCAGCTGCAGAATGAGCAGCCTCAGAGACTTCTAGCCAGAGGGGTCATTAGGGTTGTGGGGCCCCAAGAGCCGAATGTGTTCTACAGCTTGATGGACAGCTTCCAGTGCAGCCTGTTGGTTGGAGCCCCCCTGAAAGATGCTGATTTGCAGATTAATTCACATAAAGAAGAGCGGAGAATGCTTAAGGGAGGTACATACTGTCTCTTACCCCAAATGCCATACGATGCTGGGCCTTGTTTTGGGGGGAGGAGGAAGTGAGGAAACAGTTTTTCTTGTACTGTTAGAGGGATTGAGTTGTGAATCCACCTGCATGGCCCCAAGAAACTTCTTGGTGAGCAGGCCCCTGAATTTATTGGAAATGTGATAATGCTGTGGTCAGAGCTCTGAGAGTGAGACTTTGGGCTTGCCTGTCAGTAGGATATCAGCGGTAGATTGTAAGCTTTAGTCAGCATAAGACAGAACACTAGCACCTCATCCTGACCCAGCTACCGTTGGTAGATGTCAGGACAGGTTGTTCCAGGAGCTCTTTTCTGCCTGTGGCTCTTTCCAGTTGGGGCGATCCATCTCTGGTACTTACAGGATGGGAAGTGCAAATCCTGCTGCACACTGAGATGTCAAAGCAACAGCAGTGTGTGAAATCAGCCCCTCCCACAGAATCCGGACAGCTTCTTTGCTGCTGTGAACCTGCCCAGATCCATTGGTTGAATACAGGTGTCTCTTCATGGAACCAGATGGGATGGTGACTTAAACTCCTGAATCTAATGGAGCCACGAAAGTTTGAGTCCCTCCCTTGCTGAGTTTCCCCTAGCATGCTGGACAGGGTATATGGTGTCTTCTATGTGTATCCGTGGGAACAGGGAGACCTTGCCTCTACCCCTAATTATCTTTCTTCAAGCAGGTGAGGTCAGGATAGAGGGGGAAGGAAAGGAAGAGAGGGAGAAGGTGACTCCGTGCCAGTACACAAGGCACACATGTGCTTGGTTTCAAGCTGTGCACGGGCTGCATGTAGCTCAGCCAAACATGGGCCAGTGTTTCAGCCACTCAGAGCCCTGTGTCAGGCAGCATGGCCATCCTACTGACACCGTGACTCAGCAGCCCTGTCCACATGGCTTTCCAGCCAGGGCCATGAGGACCTGACCCTGCACAGTGGTGGCTTTTTAATGAGTACCTTAATTCTGGATGTTTGCTGCCCTCTTGTCATGATACTGTCTTGACGCTTTGCCCGGTCTAACATAAAGGTTGAGGGCTTTTCAGCAGGACTGATCACAAGAATATATGTTGTTTTGGATTCTTTTCTCATTCCCCAATGACTCATTTTCATCAGCATTGTAAATCCAGTCGGGCAGGAAAACTCCTACTAGTTGATGCCTTGTCATAGGAGTTTGTCTCCCCAAGAGGACCAAAGCATCCCAGGGCACCAGGGCCCACTGCAAAAAAGTCTGAGACCTTTCGTGGTCATCTCCAAATGAATCTAAGGTGGACACGACAGACTGCAGGAGGGGCTGAACCCTGGGATGGCTCAGGCGTCACCATCCTTCCTCAACACACATTATGTACATTGCCCCCTCATCTCCCTGCCGATCAGTTGAAGTTCTGATGACTCAGCTGTTTCTGTCAGTAGCAGCTGTGAATCTCTCCTCTCACACTTGCTTTAGGTACATGTCACAGCAGCTTGTCTGTGAAGGGGTGGGATCTTCTGTCTCCACTCCCTTACACACACA